AAACGGATAGAGTTGTATTTGTATGTAGTTCTAAGGATATGTGGTATAGCTTAATACAAATCGTAAGGATAAATAGAAATATCAAATCTGGATTACAAAGAATGCAAAGTAAACAAGGTTGTAAAGAAGATGATTTTTAGGACTAAACAAGTTGAATCAATTTATGAAGCTTAAAAGAATAACTCTTTGGTATAGGAGAATATGATGCTTGAATTACAATGTAAGCCAAAAAACTTGGTCCTTACAGAAATAATAACCATCCCCTTTATAGTAGAGGGATCTTACTTTAGATATAATTAAAAATACATAGTGGGAGGCCCATGATAAATCAGTTTTTCCATAAATCCTGCCAGGATTCTCTCCTCTAGTGGGATTGCAACGACTCTTGTCTATGAGCTCGATATTGACTCGAGTTTTCGGTCTTGACTCGAGCTCTCGATCTTGACTTGAGCTCGATTCTGACTCGGATCCTTGAATTGATTCGGGGTCAGTGTTGGTCGGTCTCTGAATCATAAGCTCGATAACTTTACTTTGCATCATAGTTAGACTTGGATTCGAGCTTGATAATGATATCGAGCTCGACATTGATCGGTCCCTCGGGCTCGAAGCTTGTTTGTACCATCTTCGGAACCCACCTCGAAGTCTTACTTCAATCCATTATGTTTTGACCTCGATCAATCGTACGAAGGCCGAAATCTATTTCGACCGTATACAACATCTCTGAAGAATATAAAGGGAATCATAAAGGAATAAATCTGTGCTTGCAAGCACTTTGTTTATCGTTGTGGTAGTTATGGTTGATATGGGATGATCTCCTTGATGAGAGTTATGTTAATTGTGAGATGGAATAGATCATCAAGTTAATAACGAATTAGCGTGATATATCATGTAGAGTTCCAAGATTCTAAGAAATTTTAGAGAATGTGGTCATTCTTTTCTCCTTTTGTTCTTTCTTCTTTCTTTCATTGCTAGTTGATTGTATTTCCTATCACATACAGGATTTAGAATAAAATGTAACTCTTAATACCTATGCCCAAAATGACATGCTATCCGATCTCCTGAAATATGAAAATTTTGCAGATATAGAAGTTCCAGTTGCATGTATCGTACTGATAGCCTTGTTTGCCCTTCAGCATTATGGCACCCACAGGGTTGGCTTTTTGTTTGCACCTGTTGTCGTCACTTGGCTTCTGTGTATCAGTGCTATTGGTATATATAATATAATACACTGGAATCCGACAGTGTATCGAGCATTGTCTCCATTTTACGTGTACAAGTTCCTGAAGAAAACTCGAAAAGATGGCTGGATGTCCCTGGGAGGAATCCTTCTTTGCATAACAGGCAAGTATATAGCTGTGTCTTCCCAAAAGAAAATAGATATCTACCACTTCTCTCAGTATCGTGATCACCAAATACGACATTTCATTCTTTCAGGTTCAGAAGCAATGTTTGCTGACCTTGGGCACTTCTCACAGTTGTCAATAAAGGTATGTGTTCATCCATCCTGATAGGCTTCCTGTATATCCTTAAGACTTTATGTATCTTGTCAACTCTCACATATGATGATCTTCAGAGAAGAAAAATTTTTCATTTACTAAATAGGGGTTTCAAATCCACAATTCGTTATCTGGATGAAGAGTATAAGGGAGTGAGAGGCAGCAAAATATACATCAGAGTAACTGATAGATCAGTACTGTTAAAAGACAAAAGGCATGAATCATTAAATAGGATGAGTTTCCTATATGATTTTAATTCCCGTGTTTAATACAATCTCTTTTCCTAATTGAAAGCGTGGAAGAGATTTCTCTTCAGGAAGAAAACATTTCTGATTGGTCTCCAATGCAACCTCATACATGTAAGTCTTTGACAAGTCAATCTTGCCTGATTGTTGGGGCTTAATCTTGATATCTTATTCAAATGTCTAAAGTAGTTACAGCAATCAAATGATCAGGAACTGTTATAATCAATCAAATGGTTAGCAGCGATCTCAGGCGATTACTTTATTGGAAAGCACGTAGTACCCCCACAAAAGAGAAGCTTTGAGCAGCCTTTGTTCTCAATCGCTGAATTTATCTATTTAATTTCCTTAAGGATTAATGCTAGTTCTGCTGAAATGTTTACAACTACTTCCCATATTATCAGTTGACAATTGTTTGTTTATTGTCTTGGGATAATCTTGCTTTGATTTTTTCCCCAATAATTATAGATGTACATAATCACTTGTATCACCAGATATGTGTTTAGAATCTGATGAGAATATCGATAAGGGAAAAATATCGAACTAGAGACATGAATGAATGCAGTTTGAAGATAGATTTTTGAAATACTGTATTCTGAATGTTCTCCTCTTTGTTGTTGAAAAAGAGAACGCCAAAACCTAGTCCCTTGCTTAAATTGTGCTGACTCATACACTTCGTATCACCGTGAGACTGTACCATTGTATATGAGACCAGTTCCATTTTGCAGATGGCTTTTACCTTCATGGTTTATCCATCATTGGTTCTTGCATATATGGGGCAAGCTGCTTATCTATCACGGCATCATGTTATGGAGAATGACTATCAGATTGGTTTCTATGTTTCTGTACCACGTACGTATCTTAAGGAGTTGATTTTACTAGGACAAGATAATGTAGGCAAATTCTGCTGATAATTGACATCTCCGACTATTGTTTCAGAGAAACTAAGATGGCCTGTTCTGGTGATTGCTGTGCTGGCTGCAATAGTGGCAAGCCAAGCTGCTATAACAGGAACCTTTTCAATTATTAAGCAGTGCTCCGCATTGGGATGCTTCCCAAGAGTCAAAATAATGCATACATCGTCAAAAATACACGGCCAAATCTACATCCCAGAGATTAACTGGACCTTAATGATATTATGCTTGGCTGTTACTGTTGGTTTTAGAGACACCAAAAGGCTGGGCAATGCTGCAGGTATGGATTCTATCATACTCAAAAAACACAGGACGAATTTAGGCATACTCAAAAAGTTAAGGAAGAATTTTGTTATAAGGATGGTTGAACTTCATTACTGTCTCTGATCCCTAACTTTCCTTGTTTGCATCAGGTTTGGCAGTCATAACTGTCATGTTAGTCTCCACTTGCTTGATGTCATTGGTAATTGTTTTGTGTTGGCACCAAAATGTCCTCCTTGCAATTTGCTTTGGGATCTTCTTTGGGACAATTGAGGCTTTATATTTCTCTGCTTCGTTGATGAAATTTTTTGAAGGAGCATGGGTGCCTATTGCCATTTCTTTCATTTTCATGATGGTGATGTGCATTTGGCACTATGGCTCACTGAAAAAGTACGAATTTGATGTTCAAAATAAGGTCTCTATTGACTGGCTACTCAGTGCAGGTCCCACCCTAGGCATTGTAAGGATCCGTGGCATTGGCCTGATATACACTGAGCTGGTTTCCGGAATCCCAGCAATCTTCTCACACTTTGTTACTAATTTTCCAGCTTTTCACCAGGTGCTAGTTTTCATTTGTGTCAAATCTGTCCCAGTTCCTCGTGTTAGACATGAGGAACGGTTCCTTGTCGGACACATTGGCCCAAGAGATCACCACATCTATAGATGCATCGTTAGGTATGGTTATCGTGATGCTCACAAGGATGATCTCCAGTTTGAGAATGATCTTGTATGTAGCATAGCCGAGTTTATAAGAACAGGAAAAACAGGTTTGAATGGTAATGCTGCTGAAGAGTTATCCAAGGATTTGGAGGACATGACTGTTCTTGGAACCCCTTCGACTCATATATCTGGAGTTCAACTTCGTGAGGACAATGAAGTGAGTTCTGAATCAGTTGGATCATCGAAACTTAGAGAAATGCACACTACACTAATAACCAAGCCTAAGAAAAGAGTGAGTTTTTTCATACCAGAAACTCCAAAAATTGATGGAGGTGCAAGAGAGGAGTTGCGTGAACTGATGGAAGCTAGGGAATCAGGCATAGCTTACATATTGGGGCATTCCTACGTCCGAACCAAACATGGATCTAGCTTATTTAAGAAAATGGTTATAAATTTTGGATATGACATTTTGACAAAGATCAGTAGGCCACCAGCCTATGCATTGACTGTACCTCATGCTTCTACTTTAGAAGTAGGAATGGTCTATCATGTATGATCTTGGGTGTAGAAGAGAAACTAGTAATAATACCTGTACATGTGTGTTGTTTTTGTAAGAATACAAGAAACGCGTTAACCTTTATCATGTTTGAGAATGTAAAATATAAACCATAAATATAATCCTACCTTGTTGACTGATGCTATTTTGCAAAGGTAAGACTAGGATAAGTTTTTTGAATTATATGACGAGTTATGTACATGTAACAGTGATATCTCTAGCATTAAATATGGCCTTATTTACGAATTACGAGTGGATCTAGCACACTAGAGAGCCTTGTACAATGCCCCTAAGGTTGAGCCGGAGCAGACTACACATTAGTAGTTGGGTTTATGCCGTGACAAAGTACGATGGTAGGATGTTGAGTCTAGGGGTGGGCGTCGGTCGGTTCGGTCGGTTATTATGAAAGTACGGTTCGGTTTATCGGTTTTTGGTTTTGTAATATTAATAACCAAATCAAATCAAAGTATTTACGGTTTGGTGCGGTTTTTTCAAGGTTCGGTACGGTTATTTCCGGTTTAGTTTCTCGGTTATTAACGGTTCAAGATTTTTATATCCGATGTAGACTACGGATCTTTAATTGTAGCAAATTCTTTCACTGTTTCTAGTTGGCAGTCCGGCACTCTCGAAACACCAGTTATATCTTGGATTTACTTTCCGTGTAAACTTCCGGTTCTGATAGTTTGTTTGCATACTTTACAAGAGAAGGAAGAGAGTGAAAATACCAATTCATTAGCTTGCTTACTGCTACTGGTACCAAAACAACTGCTACTAGTAAAAGATAATTAAGTCAAAACTAGCTTAGTAGCTTTCCGCAAGTAGAAAAGCATGTGCATTTGCATATCCATTCCAGCAAATGCAACTTCCCAACTCAAAGAAACCAAATTCATCAAATAACAAAAACTGAAACTCGCAGTTCAGCAAACACAGTTCAGAAAATTCAAACAAGAAGATAAGCAAACACACTTCAGCAAACAAAGTTTAGCTAAAACTCGCAGCTACCAAAGTCCAAAACAAGTCTAGAAATACCATCACCAAACAACAAAACAATGGCAAACTAGTCACAAGCCACAAGCCACAAGCCACAAAGTAAGTCTAGAAAAGGATACTTAAAGTCTTAAATACGAATCGCTGGATGAGGCATGAGACACTTCTTAATATGCTTCACTAAGCCAAAAGTGCCATAATACTTCGGACGATAATTATAAACTCGACCACAATGAAGGTACTTTGCTTTGCGGGCTTCTTCATTTACTTCAACTAGCTCAAAATGTTCCCAAATAGGCGATCTAGCTTTAGGACCACGAGGCATAGTTGAACCTACAAAAAAAGAA